TGTCTGTCTGTGTGTGTGTCTGTCTGTGTGTGTGTCTGTCTGTGTGTGTGTCTGTCTGTGTGTGTGTCTGTCTGTGTGTGTGTCTGTCTATCTATCTATGCTCTAGCTCTGTCAGGTTGCATGAATATCTGGAGTAGATGAGCCTTTATAGTTCACCCAAAACTTAAATTTTTTTGTCAATTCTGTCAGAATGTTGGTAACCAAACAGATGATGGTTGCCATTGATTTCCAAAGTATTGAAAAAAATACTATGGAAGTCAATGGCTACTATTGTCACAGTTATGTTCTGTTTCTTTGTGTTTTGGTTCTGTCTTCCTCATTTACCTAGTTTTAGGCCCTGTCCACACGAACAATGGTATTTTCAAAACCGCAGCTTTAATTATGCGGTTTGGTCATTCGTCCACATGCAAACGCAGTATCAGGTCAACCAGGTCAAACCAAACCTTTTTGAAAACTCCTGCCAGGGAGAAGATTTTCAGAAACTCCAGTTGCAGTGTTGTCATGTAGCCAGTGAAACCGGAGATTTTGGCTTGTGACGTCGGAGTGCACTCTCTCATCTCCTTTGTTTGACTTTTTTTTTTTTTTAACAAAGGACGGAAAACTCTGTTTATAAAAATACCCTTGCGTACGTGTGGACTAGGCCTCAGTCTGTTTGATTATCATTCTGTTCACCTGTTGTCTTATTAATTAGCTCATTAGTTCCTTCCTATTTATACTCCCTGTTAAGTTATTTTTCTGGTGTCATCCATGTTATGGTTGTGTTTGCCTGCCTATGTTTGGATCTACTTGTGGATATTATTAAAGCCTATTTTGGAGTTTCATCGTTCTTGTCTTTTCATCAACTGTTTAGTTACCTTATTGGTTACACTATTACATTAAATTACATTAAACATATCTACTTTTGTGTTCATGAGAAGAAACTCAAAGGTTTGGAACATCTGGAGGTTGAGTAAATGATGACAGAATTCTATTTTTTGGGTGAAGTATCCCTTTAATATTAAGCTTTGGTTTTATGCTTGAGGTCACCATTTTGCTTGAAGACATTGAAAACAGATTCTCCCAAGTCACAAGTGTCTCACAGACTCCATCAGAACGTCTGTGTTTTCCTGCATTCATTTTTACCCTCCGCACTTACAAACCTGCCAGGGCCTTTTTGCACAGAAAGCATCCCTGCAACATGATGGTGTGTTTTTGATCATGTGCAGTTTGGATTACAACAAACACAGCATTTAGTCTGATGTCCAGAAAGCTCAGTTTTAGTCCCATCAGACAACAGAACCTTCTTCCAGCTGGCTTCAGTGTTTCCCCACATGT